CAATAATTTATTTGTCAAACTTCTTTTTGACCCTATAATTTATTTTAATACGCCAGTTATATATTTATACATTTATTTCCAATAATGATAGGTTTGGTCCTCCATACTATGGAGCCTATAATTTATTTTAATACGCCAGTTATATATTTATACATTTATTTCCAATAATGATAGGTTTGGTCCTCCATATGGAAGAACTGCTTTTTGTTTGATGAACTGAGGCTAAATGATTCGATTCTTTAAGAAGAGCCGGAATTCCTACAGCTCGCTGAAGAAACCGGATGTGACGCGGACTTATGAGTTGGTACTCGGTGATAGGCGGGGCTTGTTTCACAGAAATGTAAACAGCTAGCATCAGCGCGGATCACACAGCAGCGGTGTCGATAAGGTGAATTTATTTTAATCCGAGTGTGTGTTGAAATGGTAAAATGCAAGGTTCGGTTCCGGTTCTTTAGCACCTGCTCCAACATTAGTTTGTAGTTCTGCGGCGCGACGTAGCTGTTAGCTTCAGGTTTGCTAGCGAAGGAGTTGTGTCACAGCAGAAATCTGCTTCGTGCTGAGGCGTCAGCAGGATATTTTATGGCTGAAGCAGGTTTTCTGCCGGAGGTGAGGCTTGTTTTCAAGGACTTCTGRTTGGCTAATGTTGTCAGGGTGTGTAAGGACAGTAAGTGGGAAGTTTTGACTGCGAAACTCGTCAAAAAAAAAGGCAGTTGAGCTGACATATGGGAAACTTCAACTGCTTTTTAACTGACTAATGACTGTTTCTTAATGCCTGCTGTGGGTGTTTTCATTCCACACAGAATGTTGAACTTGGCGAGACAATTTTATACATTTACTTCAATCTTAGTCTTGCATTTGTAGTCTGTTGTTTCTACAAGATAAGGTGTGGCAGAAGGTCACCTGACAGTTTTGTGTAGACAACAGAAAGCAGCATGATTACCATGAAGTTACTGCTTATATTGAACGTTTGAACATCCTAATAGACCACAGGAAATAAAAAATAATAATTGTAATGGCATAAAACTTACCACAAATATTGATCCATTTTTTAATTGATTTTTTTTCCAGGCCTGGTGAGACATCTGCTGACTTCTAAAGCATCATCATCTTCAATCGAGCAGATATAGTTTACGTTGCCTTCAAATTCAAAACATTCAAGATGACATGTGAATGAAACTGTAAGGTCCAAGATAGAAAGGCACACCTGTTTTTTGAAGTCCTTAGTAGACATGGACCAGTAAATAGTGTTTTTGGTGGCCATGTTGYAAAGGCAGATACTGTCTGCCAGTTTCAAAACATCCTCTCCATCTTAGAAGTGCACCACCTGACTCTAGATATGTGAAAGTTTCACTAAGCTCATTGTTTTTTGAACATTTTTTGTTAGCAGTCTTTAGTGCAAATTAAAATTTGTTCTGTCTCGTGAAGCCGGTGCGTCAGCATTTAGCAGTTTGGCTGATCATGGCAGAATCCAGCTCGAAGACAGCAACGCCGGCAGACTTGCTGATTGAACACGGCAAAGAGGAGCCGAGTCTCAGCACGGAGAGCTTTTCCAAAGAAGCGATTATAACCCCCAAAACCGAGGGGTCGGACCACGGAGCGAACGTCTCGAGCAGCAACGGCGCTTCTACCAGCCCTCTTCCTGTCTCTGAGGAGGAGGCCACGCCCACACCGCCTGAGTCATCACCAAGCCTGTCTGAAAATCCCACGCTGACCATCGTCACCACGGAGGATGAAACTCTTTCAGTTCCACTCAGACGTAACAAAACTGGAGGTCCAGACAGAGGAGGAGAGACAGGTAGGATCCGGTCCAGAATCAGCAGTCTGAGCTGCCCCACCTCTAACACAAACCCATTAGTTGGTTTTTATTGCAGTGATAAAAAGATTTAATAACATCTGTTCATTGACTGGACCATTTTCAAGCCTAAAGAGTCTGTATTATTACTAACTTTATCACCTATTAGATGTTTATAAATTATAAATAATTATGAACCCTAAATGTTAGATTATAAATATAAAACATTACCACTTATTCAAATCTAATTTTGAAGAATGGATATTAAATGAGTTTTCTGATTAAATAAAATGTCAACGAGACAAATCTTTAAAAACACTTTAGAAAAAAAGAGTACAAATAAGTTAAACAGTTTAAACAAAACAACTAATGTGCTATAATTAGTATTTTCCCTAAACTGTCAACCCAGGAGACGGTCATTTGATTACAGACAGTTGATGTGGCTGAGCGTCTTACTCAAATTAAACTCACTTATGTTACTGGTGATTGTTGCGCAGCATCACATTTACTCTCATGCTGTTTGTTTCACCAGACCTACAGGCAGACTGGTTTGTGTTTGAGCGTCGGTTGATATTTTTTCCGTTAAGCTCAGCTCCAGCTGGTCGACACTCAGGAAGCTGAGACGAAGCAAAGCAGCAGAGGCTGTCGTCAATGACTCTTTGTTTTGTTGAATATGAATGACTGCAGGCCGGCTCTACACAACCCGACACAAAAAAAGATAACAAGAGGGACCAAAAACACCAACAAAGTATTGTTTATTGCAGTTTTTCTGCCAAATCTCTTTGATCACAATCATTTTATTTAAAAAAAAAAAGAAAAACTAAGACTACTAATTTCATGTAACTATTTTAAAGGATTTTAAAAGTCTTGTTCTTCGTGTTTTTATGTTCCAACACCCTGTCTCTGTCTGTGCAGGTTTAGACCAGGACCTGGACGAGAGCTCTTCAGTGATGACGACGGGCGGCTCTGATGATCAGCGGGAGTCCACCGACTCCGCGTCCTTCTCCATCCCCAGTCTGGAGCTTTCAGATGGGGTCGGGACTGCAGGGAACTCTCTGGACATAGAGGACGGCTTGTCCTCGTCCTACTCGGCTCCGGGGGTAGAAGGTTGCTCTCCGTCCGCTGAAGATCCCAGTCTAAAGGAGGGCGGGGAGCTGGAAGCTGCAGGTGATGCAGTAAATTTTCAAGCCTTAATCGGTTGATGTCATCTGAAACTTTGTTTGTCGGGCTTCAGTTTCAAGATTCAAACTTTTGTCCATCTTAGTTCTGTTTGTGTTTGTGACTGTAGTTCTCCTCCTGACCACAGGAGACYCTGCAGCAGCTGCTGCTGCTCCCAGTACTGCTGCTGCCCCTGCGGTCTCAGAACCCGGACCCTCCATGCCAGCATATTACCTGGTGAAGTGGATCACGTGGAAGGAAAAGAAGACCCCCATCATCACTCAGAGTGAGAATGGACCCTGCCCCCTGCTGGCCATTATGAACACACTCTTCCTGCGCTGGAAGGTAAACTGAGATTTATTTTATTTATCAATACTTTTAAGACCACAGACTATAAAATTATTACAGCTTGAAAAATAGTGCTAGAATAAATTAGATTGTCATTTTCTATGGCGTTATTATTTTCTTTTATTTAATTACTAGGGGTGCAACAATACATGTACCCGTATCGAACCATTCAACACAGTGCTTTAGGTTCAATACAAACTTGTATCGAATAATACAGATTTTTTTTTTACATTTATTTTATCAACTTGTCTTCTGAAGATGCTCTGTGTTGAAGGATCAGTG